ATTTATCGACCAGGATCCAAGTCAAACCAGTTTTTTGGATATGAACGTACTATAGAGAGTATGGTGATTTGTACAGGGAATTTTGGGAGGATGATGACAATATATGGCCTGTCATATATAGACAGTTAGAAATGTCCTCCTGCAAGTGTAAATAATGGAGTTTATCTTTTCATCTCTGTATCAATTACTAGCAGTTATTTCTACTTTGTTGGCACTTTGATGCATCCATATAACTTGGTGGCTCCATTAGCTTTTCATACATCAGCTTCACCCTGTACTAATGACTTGATGTTGCAGGAGAAAAGTTTATTCAAGGCTTTCTCCTCTCCAAGCGTTGAAGAAAGATAATCATGGCACTGGGAGAGCTGAGCTTTTTGAAACATGGTCTATAAGTCATTAGTTGCAGATTAGAGGTAAAAATGTCAGTTGAGGATGAGCTACGTTTTTCCTGTTTTTCTGTCCTCGTGTTCTACTTTCATGTCACAAGGAAATCTGCTCAAGTAAGAAAAGAGGAGAAGATGATGGAGTGGAAAAGAAATGAAAGCACTTGCATTGGTACAGCCAAAACTTTATATGCTGAGATTTTCCCCCCATCCATGCTTATTGATTTTTAGTCAACATGTGGGTATATACCTACTACCTCTCCTAACTTTAGAGTAGAACCTGAAAATCACTGTTCAACACTATCATGCTTAGGGCTGTCCAAGGCCCGGAAACTCGGGCCTAACCGGGTTTCGGGCCCGGGCCACTTTGTCGGCGCTCGCATAGGGCCTGACCCGGCCCGGCGGTTTCGGGCCCGGGCCACTTTGTCGGCGCTCGCATAGGGCCTGACCCGGCCCGGCCAGGTAAAAGACCGGCCGGAGTCGCCTGGGCCGGGCCGAACGGTCATAATGGCTAGTTTGTGTTATTTGACCAAAATACCCTAAAAACGGTCAAAAAACAATCAAAATTTGAGGGTATTTTGGTCATTTGTATAGGGGGTTGCCTCTATAAATAGAGGGGGTTTTCATTTATTTTTCTCATCCAAAACTCATCTACTTCTCTCTAATATACTCTCTAATACTATCTACTACTCGCTTTTGTTCTCTAATTCTTCAATCAAATGGCTTCCTCCTCTAATTATGAAGGGCAAATCCCAATTTCCGATGTTAAAATGAGTCCTAATACTCCTACTACAAGAGCTAGAACTACTACTCATACCGACGTTGATCACGACTGCGGTGGAGACGATTCTGCACCAAGAGCTCTGTAGGGTGAAAATTTGATTCTTCCGAAGAAAGGAGTTTCGTTTGTATTTATAAGAAAGCTTATTACAAACTAATGAATCAAATGTTTACAACAGAAGCGGAGGGAAAGGCCCTCCTTGTTTAACGTGGGTTCCTCGGTGGCGATAGGATGCCTCGCTCGGTGCTCGTGCCGAGTCTGCTTCCCTTGGACGATCCGATCGAAGTTGCTGCCGGAGCCTCAGTTCTCAAACGAGTGAGCCTTTGGCAAAGGTCCAGGTTCAACCTTTGGGAGATTAGCCAGCAGAATATGCAACGGCCAATCCCCCCCCACTTCATGCTGGCTGAAGATGGGTTTTAGTAGGCAAGGGATGACATGGGCCATCCCTTGATTCATGGGATTTGACCATGTGAGGGAGACAGCTTGACTGCTCCTTGAATTATGGGATGTGACCACACGTTGTTCGGAGACGTCCTGCTGTTCATTCGTACCGTCAATGGTCATTCGAAGAGCTGTGCTCTGCATCACGCTACATAGGAGTGGGAAAGCCCCTCCTCGTATGCGTGACAACGGCTGTCAGATGCTTGCGTGGATCTGACCAACCACCGAGCGTTGGCGGCTCTCGTCCCTTCACCTGGACAACTGAGGTGAGCCGCATTTATGAGGGTGCAGGCTGTTTCGGCGCCTGTCCGCTCATTCGTACTGTGGACGGCCATCTGACGGGCCTGGAGTATTGTGCCCTCTCCCTTGATTTGTGGGATTTGACCACTGATGTAACTGTTCCCATACTCCAAGTGGGCAGTTGACAGTGAGCTCTAGCCAGCTTGCCGAGTGCCGGCGGATCCATCTCTTGGCTCAGACAGCCGAGGTGAGTCGCATTTATGAATGCTCAGGTCGACTTGACACCCGCCCAATCATTCGTACTGTGAGCGGTCGCTTGACGGTCTTGGGATACTGTGCCCTCTTCCTCACATCACGGAAAATAAGGAAGGTTTGTCCTCGCGAGTTTGGGACTGCAGGCAGACTTGGGTCTGCGGGCGAGTTTGATCGTGCAGGCGAACTCAGGTGCGCAGGCAGACTTGGGGTCTGCAGGCGGATTTGAGACTGCAGGCAGAGCTGGGGATTGCAGGCAGACTTGGTGTAGGCGTCTAAAAATGCCTATACGTATCCACACACAGCTCGAGACAGAGAGAAGACGACGAACATTGTTATCCGAGTCTAAGAGGATTATCTGACGCCGACAAGCGCCTAAAGCAAAACGGCGAATCAAGTGACCTGCGCGCTTGACAGTCAGCTCGCGCGCGCCAATCAGCTCGCATGCGTCAATCAACACGCACGCGTCAATCAACTCAAAGCATATAAATCAACGAAGCGAACCAAACACGCGAAAGGACAAGTCTCAAAGAAAGAGAACAAAAAAGAAGAAAAAAAATCAACTGACCTGCGCGAGCGCGGGACGGAACAAACCGACCCGCGCCCAAAGTTTTCAGACCTGAATCAGGCCGCATGGGGTCTGGAACACTTTGGATATGAAGTCCCGTAAAGTGATCCCTGCTCTTCACTCGCAGCTGATGATCGCCTTCTAGGATTTTGAGCAAACCCTCAGCTATCAACGGACTTGATTTGTCTTTACCAACTGCCGTTTGAGTTGGACTAGCCATGCTCTTGCCCTTAGCATGGTAAGTTGTCGAGGAGTCTCTCTTAGGCTCAATGCTAAAATTTCTCCTCTATCCTTAGCCTTTCGAGGCGTTTGGATTTAAGGGAGCAGTTTAACCTCGTATACCAGTCGGAGGGTAGGAGCAGTTTAGACTCATGCACCAGTTGGAGTGTAAGGGGGCAGTTTAGACTCATGCACCAGTTGGAGTCTAGGGGGGAAGCTTATCTTAGGGCAAAGATGAAGACGAACCCTGATTTGTCTTCTCTTGGGGCAAAGACGAACCCTGAAATAGCAGCACATCGCATAGTAGGCCACTATCAAACAACAACGCCTTTTATGGGAAAGACGGTGCTGGGAGAATCAAATCGTTCAGGGACGTATGAGTGTGACGATTGATTGGACAACATCATTTGCGGGAATGATGGTGTCGGCTATCAGAGGTAATCGTTAACATGATAGGGATTGCCGCGATCGGAGCGACTTTGAGGACCTACCATCCTTTTGAAGAGGATTGGTAAGTTGATTTTGTCAGAGGTGTAGTGTTAACATGACAGTGGGAGTTTATTGCGATTTGAGCAACTCTATGGACCTACCATCCTATTGAAGAGGACTGGTAAGTTGATTTGTCAGAGGTAACTGTTAACGTGACAGTGGGGGTCCCGCCATCCTATTGAAGAGGATTGGTGGGGGATTGTGGCTTTGGTCCTAACTATCTGAAGGTTTGACCAAGTGGGAGTTTGATGCAGCCCACCTGAACTGCTAGTCTCGCCTGTTTTGAGCGGTTCGCCACAAATGGAAACCTGGCTCAAGAAGTGGGGCTCGACTAACTGTTAGGCTCGCCTGATTTGAGCGGTTCGCCCGTACTGGGAACCTGGCTCAAGAAGTGGAAGTGTAGGGAATAGTTTAACCTCTTATACCAGTTGGAGGATCAGAAGAAGCAGTTTATACTCGTGTACTTGTCGGAGTGTTAAGGGAGCAGTTTAAACTCATGCACCAGTTGGAGTGTAGAAGAACTATCAGAGGTGATTATTAACGTGATAGCTTTGTAGGCCCGTCGTCCTATTGAAGAGGATCGACGGGAGATTGTCAGAGGTGTAGTGTTAACTTGACAAGATTGTCGCGATTAGAGCAACTATGTGGGCCCGCTGTCCTATTGAAGAGGATCAACGGGGGAAATTTGGAAGATATGAGGGATCGGTCTCCACTACCAAGGCATCTTGGTCATCATCCCCTCGAAATTCATGCGGGTCTTCGTCACCCATATGCTTGAGCATGCTCTCGACTTGTTCTCCTTGGCGAAGTAAGTCTTTCCATGAGCGAGCTTCAACAGCGCCCATATTGGACAGAACGCTGATGGAGAGATTGTTCCGGCACATCTCGATGAGCGTGGCCTCGGAAACTCGATCGCGGGAATGCAACGATCGGTTTCTGAATCTCTTGACAAAGCTGCTTACAGACTCTGTCTTCCTCTGCTTCACAGTTAGCAGGGTGGCCATAGATACTTCTGTGTCATCATCGAAGAATCTGGCCACGAAGAGCCTTTCCATGTCCTTCCAGCAGGTGATGGACCCAGGCTCCAATCTGCGAAACCATTCAAAAGCGACCTCCTTGAGGGTACCAATGAACAGTCGAGTCATAATGGGATCGTTTCCCACTATGTGTCCAGTTTGCGCCTGGAAGTAGTAGAGGTGCTGGGTAGGAGAACCCTTGCCATTGAACTGTAGGAGGTCCAGCGGCTCGAACTTTGCTGGGTAGGAGACCGCATCCCATTCAATTGGATACGGTCTGACAACCCCCAGCTTGTTCGCATGCTTCTGGAGCTTCAAGGCGTCGAGTTGACTTTGGAGATCGTCAAACATCTTGTCTCTTTGGTTATGACCCGAAGATGACGCTCCTCTAGATGACTCGGATGAGGAGTGAGAAGGAGTAGGCACCCTCTCTTTGTGCTTCAAGGATTTATGCGAAGCCCGCGAAGTCCTCTCTCTTTTCCTCTTCTTCTCGCTCAGGAGCTGCTCCAACATCTCCTTCAGGGAGTCGATGGTTGCTTGTTGCTCATCGAGTCTCCTGGATATCTCGTCAGGGATGTCAGTCATGTGCACATTTG